CCCAGATAGCTGTAAGAAGAAAACCCAGGATCCTGACCTGCCAAAAAGCCGCTTCTTTGACCAAACGTATTGGGACCTTGTTGCCCATAGAGTCCAGCCTGTGATCTCATTGCTGACTCTCTTGCATAGGTATCTTCTATCCCACTGACATAAGGTCTATAAACACGGCTCTCTGTGCTCTCCCTCTGGTAGCCTCCAAACTGTCCCTCTGGGTTTCGGACCCCATAATCAGGTCCAGGACCTGAATAAGGCCCCTCGCTGTTCAATCCATATCGTCTTGCAATGTCGTCAGCAGGAGACCCCTCATATCCTGTTCGATAGTGTGATCGTGACCCATCTACACTCTGATCAAAATGTCGATCACCTTCCTTGAGAACCTCTAGAGGTCTGGATGAATTGGGTGGGGAACATCGGGGTACTCTGTCATACATCTTGCTTGCAGGAGAACTTCGTCCTCTCTCTTTGGTTTTCTGTGGTGTCTGGCCAAATCCTTTCCCGTTCTTTTTACCACCATGCTTCTTCTTCTTCTTCTTTGAATCCCGATTAAATCGATTTTGCCCATGGTTACGATTCTCGTGGACTTCTCTGCCACCATTACCACGAGGGAGGTCTTCTTTATGACTTTCAGACACACTTGCTCGTCTTTCTTGGATCTGTTCATGTACTTCTCTACCACCATTACCACGAGGGGGGCCTTCTTTATGACTTTCAGACACACTTGCTCGTCTTTCTTGGATCTGTTCATGTACTTCTCTACCACCATTACCACGAGGGGGGCCTTCTTTATGACTTTCAGACACACTTGCTCGTCTTTCTTGGATCTGTTCATGTACTTCTCTACCACCATTACCACGAGGGGGGCCTTCTTTATGACTTTCAGACACACTTGCTCGTCTTTCTTGGATCTGTTCATGTACTTCTCTACCACCATTACCACGAGGGGGGCCTTCTTTATGACTTTCAGACACACTTGCTCGTCTTTCTTGGATCTGTTCATGTACTTCTCTACCACCATTACCACGAGGGGGGCCTTCTTTATGACTTTCAGACACACTTGCTCGTCTTTCTTGGATCTGTTCATGTACTTCTCTACCACCATTACCACGAGGGGGGCCTTCTTTATGACTTTCAGACACACTTGCTCGTCTTTCTTGGATCTGTTCATGTACTTCTCTACCACCATTACCACGAGGGGGGCCTTCTTTATGACTTTCAGACACACTTGCTCGTCTTTCTTGGATCTGTTCATGTACTTCTCTACCACCATTACCACGAGGGGGGCCTTCTTTATGACTTTCAGACACACTTGCTCGTCTTTCTTGGATCTGTTCATGTACTTCTCTACCACCATTACCACGAGGGGGGCCTTCTTTATGACTTTCAGACACACTTGCTCGTCTTTCTTGGATCTGTTCATGTACTTCTCTACCACCATTACCACGAGGGGGGCCTTCTTTATGACTTTCAGACACACTTGCTCGTCTTTCTTGGATCTGTTCATGTACTTCTCTACCACCATTACCACGAGGGAGGCCTTCTTTATGACTTTCAGACACACTTGCTTGTCTTTCTTGGAGCTGTTCATGCACTTCATTTTGAACAGGATGATCATCCAATGCCACCGAAGTTTGGCCATTAGGTTCATGATCCTTCATTGGATGATCAGGGACCAGTGGTTTGTCATGAACTTCTAAATGGGACTGTTTTTGTTCCCTGGCCAAGTGTCCCTGCCGTTGAGCAATTGCCTTGTGTTTAGCGGTCCAATCGGGGTGACTCCAAAGGTAGAGCGGTGGTGTACTCACATTCCAATCCTCTAATTGGTTGTCATTTATGTCAACAGAACCAGGTAAATAAAATGACTGAAAAGGGACAAAAAACACAGTATAAACCACCAAAGCACACTTTCATTGCAAAAGAAAAAAACTTATAATCAACCACTAGGGAACTGCACAAAACATCTTATTTTACCTTGCCAGCAAGCAACTCATTATTCTCCCAGATCAGATCATAACCCTTTTTATCCAACCTGGTGAAGGGAAAAGGGGGAAGAAAGAAGAAATGAGAGAGAGAGAGAGAGAGAGAGAGAGAGAGAGAGAGAGAGAGAGAGATGTACAGTATCAAGTATGCAAGCTAGTTACCTCTCTGTCTCTTTAGGAACAATTAGGATAAGGAGCTTTGGCTTAAACTCGAGAGCCTTATCAATGAACTTATTTGCAAGGGCAGCATTTACTCCAAAAGGGGGATTTAGCCCCATGATCTACTCAAAGAAACAATAACAAAAGCTCTGTCAAGTGAGAGTTCACAACCCTAGGGGACTAAAAGCTTCTTGCATATTAAACAAAAATAAACATTATTCTCACCAATTGTGACCCTGGTGGCAATTCTTTCAGTTTGACACTCATCCAATCCCTCTCCTCAAAGTTAAAGTCATTCTGTCAAAACAGGACCAACCAGAACCAAAATGACAATGGGAGACAGAGATGATTGAAAACCTATTTTAAAAAATATAACGAGGTTTGCATCACTAATCATATACACTCAATGTCTATTTACACTGCAGCAATCCAGCCTACACACATGAAAACAATGACTATTGAAAGCCAATTAACTCATCACAAAGATTTTCCAACAGTAAAACAGGGCAACAAGTAGAAGAATATTTGAGACTTGAGACCTCTCAACAATAACTTTACCAAGCAATCCTACTTTTAAAATAATTTGTTCATAACCTACAGTTCTAATATTCCAACAAATATGTTATCTATCAACGGATCAACAGCAAGGGATCAACACCATGAACCCATCAAAACCACATGAAATTAAATTTAAGAGAACATAAAGTTTAAGACACTAAAGGGATTACAAACAATTAGGGTACTGAATTTTGAAAAGCTCAAAGAAAGATGAACCTAGAAAGGCCAAAACATGTTTGTATAGTACGTAATAAAATGGCAAAATGCAGATTAGTCATATAAATTGTTGGAAGACTCCAAAGATGGCAGATGAATAAAAAAATTCAAAATGAAATAACCAAATGCCCTGGTAGATAAAGATATCCAAACTGGTACATCAAAGCTACACCAAGAATGACATCAATTACATATGCTTCGAGAAACAGTGGTTGAACAAAGAAAAAGGCATCAAAACAAACATATCAGCATGCCAATTTGGCATGAAGCAAGGAGGATTTACAAGGTGGTCATTAACTCAAGTCGTCATGGATTGGAATTACAACTCATGATACCCATTAACGATCAAATAGTTGATAATAAAGGGACAAGTGTTTTTTTTATATTCAGTTACACATCAACTATATAATTGCCCATCTTGAATTAATAGAACCAATTCATCCACAAAGAACAATATTGCAATAAACAAGTGAGTTTCCATGCATCTCAAGATTACTGGAACATGCCATTCAACATATAAACTCAAACCACCAAACCAAAATGCCTCATCGATTTCTTCCTTTTTTTTTTCAAATGTCAGTAGGAAACTGTTCCCAGCCAAATTTGTGCATTTGACACTTGTTGACATGTGTTGTTGATTCATATCCCCCACTAGGATCCTTAAAAAGAGAACCCACTTAGCCTTGGAGACCAAGATATTATCCATGATTAAAATTTAAGAAACCTTTACCCTAGGGTTCTTTAAGAAACAAAAGAACTAGTGTTTAGTATATCATACATTCACAAACAAGAATGCATTGGTACAAACTTCTGCAGTTAGAATAAATACCGAAGGAAAAAACAAAGGGGGCAGAAAATTATAAAAGAAATATAAACAGAGAGAATTTCATTTACATGACTGGTACCCAGGGAGCTGAAAAAATGTGATTATGGAAGTGTAGTTCACCTTTGGTTGTAAAATATCATAGTTTTTGTATGAGCACTTCTTCTTTCCTGTCTCATCAAGCTTCTTCTTCATGAGACAACTGAAATCATTAGCTCCGCAACAGAAGTCAACTATCTGTTTAGGGGAGCAATAACCAATTAGGTACACCAATTCGAAAGTTAAAATGAAACTGAGAGCAACTAGCAAATCACATTTTTCACGCAAGCATCATGTGTAATTTGAATGGCATATTTTAAAGAGATTGTACATACTGCAGCGTCTCTTCTGAATTTAATCCCACCATCACAGTACTTCTTGATAGTTTTCATTGGGATCAGGAGCAGTAAAAGACATTTAGTTACAAATAAATGAGCACCGATCCATTAGATACATCAATGAACAAGTATGACAAAAAAGACTGAAACTCATGAAGATCCAACTTACTCGATTCACCAACCTAATCCATCCCATTTGCTGTTTGTTAGTTATAAATCTTTTTATGTCAACTACATCCATTTGGGTTCCAGCCAGGATCTGCCCCATACAGAACAACCCAACATAAAACCAGAACAAAATTTTCAGACATAGCCCCAACAGATCTAAGTGCACTTATATTTACTTGACATCAACGTTAAAATTGACTCAAAGCTTTACTACATTTTGTTTGAAGTGTTAAAACAACATTAAAACAAAGTGAAAAACCCTTTGAAGAGCAGCAACATCCTAATCGTATTCGTCATGTTCATTTGGATGAGTCGACCTACCTCATTCTTGTTTTTATCTAATGTCGTGATTTATCAACAAAAAAAAAGAGAGAGAGAGAAACCCATTTTGCTCCCTATGGTTTGGCACTTTTGCACTTCACCTCCCTGACATTTAAAAATAACCAAAATTGGCCCACATGGTTTTTGCCCTATTGCACTTCACCTTGCTACCATTACCAATTCAACCCAAAAAAAAGTGAGCCATAGGCACCTATTTTGTGAGTTGACATGAAAAAAAATTCAAGTCAAATCAAATCAAGTGTCTTCATCTTCTTCCCACTAACTAATCTGAAAACCATAACCCTAACCCTCATCTTCATTCACTTTCCTCCCCTGCCAAAGCCGCCACCTTTCCCCTCTCCACGGCCACCCCCGCCACCCCATTCACCACCCTCTATACACACACACACACATAACATTATATATTATATTATAGATAAAATTTTGGTTAATATGTGGTTAAAATTGGGTTTATTAGGGTTAATATGTGATTAACAGAAAAGATAAAAAGAAAATTGGAGAAAGACAAAAAAAAAAAGAGAGAGAGAGTATTAAGATCATTTCCCATATGCCATTGATGAAGTTAGCATTGCACTTTAGTCCTAAACTACCTTGAGGATGAAATGGCTATTTTTAGATGTCAAGGGGGTGAAGTGCTCCCCAAACCACAAGAAGGTAAAATGGATACTTCCATAAAACAAATGTGACAACATCACTACAAGAGATTCAAAAATATTAGTTTCAACGGACAAATGCAAAAAGCCAACCAACAAAACAAAATTTCAAATAATATATCACCTTAAGAAGCACGGACAAGTGACACAAAACTAACACGCCGACCCGTTAATTTTCAAACAATATAGGACACAACATGTGAGGGACACACTCAAAATATATACTTTTATATATTTATTATATGCCATATGTATGTAAGGATAAGCAATTATTATATGTCATACAACGTATTGAGAAGTGTATGGCGAGTGTTTTGTCGTGTCGGTGTCTCACATGACACACCAGCTTCTTAGAAGTGTTGTGCTTCTTAGATATCGCTTTTTAGAAAGAAAAAGGAAAAGAAAAGAATGATAAAGAAAGTTGTACCCAGCTTACAAGGCTTCCACTTAGAGCAGGGTTTGGGAGAGGTAATAGGTAAACAACTTTCCCCCATTTTTTTGTGGAGAGTCTAATTCACATGACTTGAACTCGTGCAACTAGTGTTACCAAAAAAAATGCTGACACCCTAGTGATTTACGTTTTGAAACGTTCCAAAACATAGTACACTTCCATTCCAAAACGATGACTTTAGCAATCCAAAGCTATCTCAAAAATTCTCTTTAGTTTCTTAAGTTTACCTTGGGATGAAAATAAATCTAGTATAAATGAACTAACATGCAAGGACAATGGAGTTTTGGTAAAATGATATATAAAAAATGAGCCATAATACTCCTAGAAATGTGTTCAAGGAAAATTGCAGGCACCATTCTAACAGTGTGATTTATACAAGCCCACCCTAATACTGTGATTTATACAAGCTTACCCCTATTGTACCACATTTTAAAGCATGTTCCCGTTCCTCGTACCAAAACGATCCGTGTTCTAGGTAACATAGTGTGCAACAGTGCAGCAGACAGATAGCACTTGCTATCATTCCAGGTCAGGGCCTCTTTCTTTTCTTTTTTTATTTAAAAATTTTGATATTTCCCAATAAAACAGGATCCATAAAATCATGCTCAAACAATGCAACCCCTGTGGAATTGTGAGTTGAGTCTTGAAAAAATAAAATTTATTTAGTTATGAGTTTTGAAAAGAGTTATTAAAGGTGTTTTTGAAATTTGGGACTTAATTATTCAAGTTGTTACATCCCCATGGTCAAACAAAAATACCCTGTGAGATCTCTATAAAAAGAAGAGAGTTATGATAACATCACGAATCAAGAGAATGAACTAATTTATTGAGAGAGAGAAAGAGGAGCACAAATTCTCACCATATCACCATTTTGTACATAAGAATGAAGAACATCAACAATCTGCACAAAGGAAATTACTTTTTTCAGGCTTTCAACAGTCCTAAAAAGCTTCACTCTAGCATCAAATACTTATCCACAAGACTGAAATCTAAACATAAAGATGGAGAACACACTTTATACCATTGAAGAAATGGAACATTCTCTCATCAATGCTGAGTTTTAAAACATGTAGCAACATGTCTCCAATGACAAATGATTAAAAAGAATTCAAAAAATAAAGACGGAGAAAACACTAATCATCAAGAAAATGGAGCAATCTCTCATTGAGCCATGTGTTGATTCCAAACATTCCATCATATTCCTTGCATTAATTTAAAATGCTTCCCGGCCTCTCTACATAAGTTCAGAATCAATACATATGCTTAAACAAGGAAAATAATGGCCACATTTTGCATTAATCGAAAAATGCTTCCAGGCCTCTCAACAAAAGTTTGGAACCAACACATAACTCTCTACACTTAAAGGTGGAAAATAAGGGCTTGTTTAGTATTGTTTTCATTTTTTTATGTTTGTTTTGTGTGTTTTCAGAAGAAAAAATAATGGAATTGTAAAAATGCCCATTGTTTTCATATTGCTTTCACTTTGTGCATATGTTTTTTCTTTTTCTTTTTTTAAACTCAGAAAATAAAATAATAGGGTGTTTTTAAAAACTTGATAAATATTTGTTAAAAATGGCAAAAACATACTATTTTGGGCTAATCCAATTAGCTAATTAGATATTTGTTAATTAATTAGGCTAACCCAATTAGATATTTGTTAAAAATGGCATAAACAGACTATTTTGGGTAAGTATTGGAGTAGTTTAATATTTTGAACAAAGCAGATAGATTCTCCCTATCAGTGTGAATACAAGTTCTATTTGAAGTGATCGCACACATTTGACTCACCTCTTTTAGCTTGTCCACTTTAGTAAAATGGCGTCCAAAAGATGTATAGCGCATGCCATAGAGAAATGGTGCAAGGTACACTTTTAGCTTGTTCTACAGCAACAAAACCATGTAACGTAGTAAATATCAATGGAGTATACTTTATTTCTAAAAAGCTTGTGCACGCTAGTAAAATAAACTTCTAGCGGAAGAAAATGAAAGCCAAAACTTTTGCAACCATTCTCTCATAAAAGCCATAGAGTTTTCTGTAATCTATTGAAACAAATTAACCCAACAAAAGTGACACCTAATAAGTGTTAAATTTTGTACTCAATATACTTTTGCTTACAGTATCATTTATAGGAAATTGCCATACAGAAGATGGTAGATGGAACTGAATACAACTACAACGCATGAATAGCCTTGGAGAAGATATTCCCTAATCAGGACACTAAACTGTCAAACACCCATATTTTTCCTTCTGTAAGATCTGCAATAGGGCGATCAGCACCCCATTTAGGTCAACATGCATTATTTCATGATGTGGTTCTAAGTAGAGATGCCGACAAGGTGTGTATCATGCAAAACACAGAATATTTGATTGAAGATTGTGAGGCAAAGTGGGGTAAGAGAAAAGGCAATCCTAGTATGAGCTATGTGGCAAATGCTTGAACATTTTGAGACCGGTTGATGCCACAGAGATACTTCAAAGAGACAGTACACAGATTGAAATGGGTGATTCTTCCATGCTTGGATGCATTAAATAAACATCAAACCTTTTGAGGCAAATTGACCAACCAAAGCCAAAACAACAATGAACAAACAAAAACAGGTAAGTGCAAAAGAGAAGAATTAACTCTCTGTTCAACACTAATGAAGGAAAATCCAATAGAAAAACTTTGGGATAAATAAATAATAAAAAACAAACAAACAAACAAACAAACAAACAAACAAAAAATGGTATAGGAACATAGATGGCAAATCATCAATCACCTTCCACCTAACCATCTGGTGCAGAAGAACAGGTTGAAACACAGCCGTTGCGTCTTCAATGCTGCAACCTTGTTCTAGCTTCTGTAAAGCTGCACGAAGAGCCTGCACATGAATATTAGATTAAGTGCAAGACACACAAGGAACTCCACTGAAACTGAAGCCATTACCCACTATGTACACCAGACAAAAATAGATACCTCAACAGAACCCTCCACCTTTCCCAAAGTAATGGCCTTATCCACCACATTTTTTGATGAGTAGGCATGGGTTACTGGCACTTTGTGCTTTTTTGTTATCTCTTCCAGTGTTATTGAAGATGTAGCATCTTTCATTAACGCCAATATTCTGCATTGCACAAAGCAAATGTTAGAAACGAACAATCTAGTAAATGTAATACCATTTACATTCAACAACTGCAAACAAGGGACAAGTTATTATAAACAATTAGATTATTAACCAGCAAAGACACATAAGCACAATGTAACAATGAGATGATGTATAAATGTCTGTTACCTCCGTTTTCTATCATCATCTAAAGGCACTGAACTGCTCATTTCCTTTGCAACAGGCTTGTCAGGCAGGGTTTGCTTATGTTCACTATCAGATGTGTCCTCGTTCCTAGAATCCTTGTTGATCAAGGCATACAACCTCTCTCCCAAGGAAGCCCTATTCGCATCGGTGGTAGACTTCCCGACTTTTGTTGCAGCAGTGTTGTTCAAAGGCCTTCTGGATGTATCTGCCACTTTTTGTTTCTTTGAAGTATCAAGACCAGTCGATAATCTCACCCTTTTTTCAGAAGAATTGCCCTCTTTGATATTTGAAGACAAATCAACCCCTTTCTGCACTTTCTCATGAGTTCTCTTTCTGGGAGCATCTTGTGAAGCCAGATTTCTCTCCTTCTGCAGAACTTTAACTTTGCTTGACAGTTGTTGTGATGCTTGTTTTTTCTTTTGTTGTCCATCATCTGGAAACTTTATGTGGTTTCTATCCGGAGTACAAAGTTCATCATCAATCAGATGTTCTCTGGAAAAAAGGGAAAAGGCCGGTGAATATTTTGCAAGCTACTGTGCAGAAGATCAAGAAGCGCTGCTAGAACAAAAGGTGGAGAAGATCAAGAAGAGCTGCTAGAAACAAAAGAGCACTTACAAGCAATATATCAAAATACGGTTTGGAATAAGACCTTCCCAAGCCCTTTGTACGATGCCCTGATCCTCATCATCTTCAAAAGCAATCTTCTTGATCAAAGTAAAGCAAGCATCAACAGCTACAAAATAGTAGCTAAATTTATACAACAAGATTTCATGATAACGTTCAAAAATAAAATTAAAATATGGACACAGTTAAGAAGTACGTAGGCAAGCATTTTTTGTGGAATGACTTGGGACAGCGCCTGCATACAGCAAATTGCAAAGCAGGATCCATCTTATTTTCACCCAGTTTGCAGACAGAGCATTTATGAATAGGACAGGTGAAAGATTCCCCAGCAGCAATCTTCTTCTGAAGCTCTTCTGCCTCAGCAGCACTCCCATGATGGAGCAGTTTTGCAACACAATGTGGATGGTAAAAACGGCCACATGTTGCAGAAACACAGGGAAAGACCTGAAAAGCATTTAGCAGGCAGAAATTTGAGCAATTCAGATGCAGATCCACTCACTGTTCACAATGAAGTGAAGATCACCAAGCAACACAGTTAGCTCCAGAAATGTGAATTGACATGCCAATAAATTCACCTCAACTATAAATTGTAATCAATTGTTTTCACATGGGCGTAAAAGAAGAGAGATGTGTGCCAAAAAAAAGGAAACAGTAAGATCTGCAAAAATCCAAAGCTACTAAGAAGAAGCAAACGATGAGGAAAGAATAACAACTGCAAGGTTTCTCTCTATGAAGTTAAAAAAATACGCAAGAACATAATTGAGGGAGAAGATTGAAGTAAGGGGAAAGGAATTTCCTTAAAAAATAAACTAAAATAAGCAAAGTTAGCAGGATATACAAGGAACAAGAAAGAAAAAACAAAGACGGAATCTAGAATATAAAGGGCCAGGCCAAACTATTCTAAAGCCTTCTAGACACCATAATAAAATTCACTATCAGATCAGAGAAGCCATAGATAAGGCCCGGTAGGAGCAGAGATAAGGATGGGAGGGAGGGGAATTATGCAAACATAGCATTATGCCATTGTCCAATATAACTTCTCACTAAACATCTCCAAGGATCACTTGACTAACTTGTAAGGTAGAATAATTACTTATCTCACTTTCAAAAATATCAGTTGAAAATTATTCCAAAATATTCTTTCAAATTTTGCTATTAAAAAACAATGTGGATAAACGCTGCCCTTGACGGAATTTCTTCAATTTAATAACAAAACTAGCTAAGCTTAACCAACTAGCATTCTGTAAATCACAAATGGGGGAATGAGCATTCAACATTAAAATAGTATTTCAAATTTCCAGAAGAATTCATACCTCTGCACCAGACAATTTATCAGAAGAGCCTAACTCCCCACAAGCGAAGCACTGATGTTTCTTGTATTGACAATTTTTACAGAAAAAATTCTGTATTGCCTGCAAAATACATGCATGAACTTAAAAAGTGTCCTAAGAATCTATCAAACAGCATAAACCAACCAGAACAATGCATCATCGGGCAGAAATGAAAGACTAGCATACTTCAACTTGTTCGTCAGAAAGGCCGAGAGATTCACACGCGGATTCAGAACCAGCCTCCACCGTAGCATGAAATGACCTCATGCACCTTCCTTCACAACTGTATGAGATCCAAAATTATACCATAACATGTCACTCAAACAAGATATACAGGCACAACCTTGATGAAATAACATACAAGTACATGAATTATTCATTCTTGATGTAGTACAGAACAGAAGTAATAAAAAGGTGGTAGACCATATTAATTTCATTGGTAACATTAGATAGTAAATGACAAAAAGGAAAGCCCATAAAAATGGCAAACAATAATCACCACACTACATCTCAGCATGCAAATCTTTTATGCATATGAATGCTACTGAGCTTATTTCATATGATACGTAAACACCACAGGCCATGTCAAATAACCCAAAATCAATCAAACTAAAGTCTAGTAACTTTTTGATCACTTCCAATCCCATCAGGAAATTCTTTCAAAAGCTTATAGAAAGGAAGCCAGGAAGGTATATTACCTTCAAAATTCAATGTAATAGCTTACGGTTTCTTTTTTTCTATCTTCAAAAAGAGCATTTCAGAGATGATAGTTAATACACGCATCATAGTTGTTGTCTCGATTTCTTAACAGTATAATAGGACTCGGTTTTCAGCCATACACATGGAAGTAACATTGATGGCTTATGCTGCTGATACAAGAACAATGCATATGCCATCATTAATCAGTTCAGACGGTAAAGGGAAGGGAAGTGGAGGGGTAAGTCTTAGTTACATATCTTATTAGTAAAAATGAATAAGAACTAGATAAATCTATATCTATACTATTATTAAGTGAAAGCCTAATTGATTTAGTGAACCCTTCTTCTCCTCATGCCACGCAACAACTTTATATATGCTAAAATAAAAAAATTATTAAACACAGTGTAAGTAAGTTTTGAACCTAAGACCTGAGATTTCATTAAGAACATACTTATCACTTAAGCAACATACATATTATGATATTAAATTCTTTATTATTTGTTTTTATTATTAGTTATCTTAATTGCACACGTATTGCGTATGCCACCCACTAGTATTTGTTAAAAATGGCACGAACAAAAAAAAAAACAATGATATCAGTGATATCATCAATGACAATGGAATGAATCTAATCTTTCATATCAATACCAACTGAAGACAATGCAGTAAGAGATAGTCATAACTGGTCATATTTAAGACATGAATAAGTGTAGAAACAAAAACAAAATTGCACCCAATTTTTTTTTTTTAAATAATGCATACCACAAAAGGTCTCCACCATTATCACAAATTGAACAAACAGAATCAAATAGGTCTTCTTCTTCATCAGACCCATCATCTTCTTCAAATTCATCTATCATATCATCATCAACAATAAACCCAGCCTTTGCAGTAGTTAAAATATCCTGTCACATCAGTAAATAAGCTTTCTCAACATAAAATGATGAATAATATGTGTGTGTGTGTGTATATTAAAACTGTGATTTTAGTTTCAGACCTCATCAAAAACTTTCTTCTTCCGGGGCTTCGCCTCGAGAAATGTAACTAAAAACTGTTCAATGCATAAAGGTTCATCATAGTGTACTTATAAACAAAATAATTCAAAAGAAGGATCATAAATGAAACCCCATATACAAACCTTGGATTTTGCCAATGTTTCATCCCTTTTAACAGCTTCACTGATTAAAGTTGTGTGATCTATCAGATCATTCTCAGAAGGTCTGACCTCGTACAAGCTGTATATAGCATAAACTGTGAAAAATTGCACTTAAAACAACAAATAAATGGTGAATAGCCTGAGAATCTAAGATCTGGCTGCAAACCTGAAAACTTTAGACAAGTAATCCCACAAAGATCTCCCAGAGGTTTCAGGATTCTTCTTCACAAAATGTAGGCAGTGCACAGTGATCAAGATTGTCCTAATGGTCTCCTCAAAACTCTTTCTAGGCCTTTGAAGGTAGATCCAGTTGTTTTCCTTAGACAGCACCGCGATCTCTGGCTTCACATCTGAAAGATCAAACTTCCATGCTGTGACCTGCTTGTATATTTTCTGAAGGCCATTGTCAGCAGTCCCGTGCAAGAATATCTGTTTACTCTTGCCATCCAGTCCCTCACTCTCATTCCATTGAACTGGTAACTCTGAAAATGCAATAGGCTCGTCCTTGTCAACAACAAAATCGTAGTTTGAGACAGTATGTGGCACAGTCTCATCCTCATCGTCTGAAGATGCCATTCTCTTCTCCCAATTACACAGTGACTACTACTTGACAACCTAAGCAAGACATACACAAGAAGACTTGTTTAGATGCCCGTAATTTCTTTGGTTAAACAATTATCAACCAAATGATGGTTTAAAAAAGAAAAGGGCATGATTTCATGGCAACCCATAATCTGCCACTACCTTTTCTTATTGATTGCTCAGTTCAGTAACTGCAATAAAATAAGAAAAGATTATAGTCATGATTCTCAAATTTTTCATGGACAACAGGAAACTCTACACAACTTTGCCCCCAACATAAACAAAGAAATAAATACTATTCGGAATAGTTGAATAGGTTTTTTCATTCACTAGAAACCAAATACGTGAAATTCATAGATTTTCTTTTGATTTTCTTTCTGTTTCCTCATCAACCAAACATATTAAAACCCCATATTATACCATACAGCCATTGGGCATAATAGAAAAGAGTTCAGTCAATTTTTTGGAAATTGAAAACACCGCAAAGAAACAAAAACTTATTCTGTTAAAAGGGTTCGTCCCCAACTCGCAAATATCAAATATTTCATGCTCTCTGATTTCCATGAACTTTCTCAGAACCCACATAATAGCCCATAAAAATCTAATTGTAAACAATATATTCAATGAAAATTCAAACAAAAAAATACCCAAAATTCGTTAGAGGTTCGATAAATCAAAACAAATTCAGGGTTTCGGAAACAAAAAAAGTAAATCTTGCGAAGGCGAATGGGTAAATACCGGATTGGAAACCACTGGATAGAAGCGCCAAGATAGCGTAAACCCTAGTTTCTGAATCAGGCACAGATTCCTTGGGTTCGCGACGTAGTTAGAGAAGAGAGTGTAAATCAACAGGAATGTCGAAAGCAAGCGAGCCTATGTATATATATATATACGAAACGAAATCGATCAAAATGGATTCGCAAAATCCTCAAACGATCCTACGGTTATGTGTAGCGATTTGCCAAATCGGGATGATGATGATGATTTTGTATATTACAGTCGTTGTGTCGTCAAGTCGCTGTGTACTCGTCCTAGTTGTTTGTTTGGCAACCGCCTTTAAAATCGATTTTTACCATTTTTTAAATAATTGAGTAATTATCTTTCTTTTTTTTCTTTTTTTTTTTTAGCATGTGTTGCAGATTATCTTATTTAGATCATAATTATTTTATTTATGTCACATTATTTTTTATTTGAATCACTTCAATTTTAACTCACATTTTTTTTTTTTATAAAAAGTAAAAAAATATACTAATAGAATACTTTTTCACGCAACACATTAATATAATTTGCTTAAAATACGAATTATCTTCTATAATTTTGAAAATTATATTATTTAAATTTTTAATTTCATAACAAATAATCTCATTTTATTAATAAATCATCAAATGAATTAAAAGTTTTTATTGATATTATAAATATATTTTATTTAATAATTTATATACTTTTATTATTGTATATGAAAGCAGTTAATAATTTTATTTTTTCAATTAATTTTGCTAAATACAAAATTTTAATAAGAAATATTTATAATTTTTCTAATCACAAGTTACAATTCGTATTTTAAGTTAACTTTATCCTTTTTTTAAACCTTTTTTTTAATCTTTAACAGCATTTTTTAACTGCCTTTAATTTTTATTTTTTTTTTAAAAAATAGATTGGTTCATGAAATTTTCAGAAATTTATTTTAAATATATAAAAAAATAAATTTAACTTCCGACCCTTTTTTTTTCTCTCTCTCTCTTAATTAACAGAGCTTGCCTATTAATTTTGGACTTTCACATCTCTTACCTAAATTGCTTCATACCTTTTTTCTTTTTCTTTTTTATTTTCTTTCTCAATACTCTTTAATTTCAATTATACCTTCACCCTTCCAGTGAAACTCTAATCTTTACCCCTTCTGTCGTGGTCCAACCCTTCCCAACCATGTCTTGCCATCTCCCCCAACTCTTCCATTTTCTACCACTTTTGCACACCTTCTCTCATAGCCCCTTCTCATCTTTGTGAATCCCCTCACATTCCTTTATTCTTCTTTTTTTGGTGCAAACACTCACCCTATAAAATTTAATTGATTCTAAATTATTTTTACTAAATATTCTAAATAAATTTTTTCGATTCTTTTTAAATTTTAAAAATTAATTTTTAATTATTTATTTATAACCGTATATAACACGAGTAATTATGCTAGTTATCTATCTATTACCGGAACAAGTCCCTGCTGTGCTTAGAGCACAGTAGTGACCGTGGTGCTTCCGTTTGAAGTGTATTATGGTCTTATTTTTATGATCTAAACCGTTCATTTTGTAGGGTTTATTAAGTACTTCATGCTTACAAAAAATCATATTAATCGGATATTAATAACTATATGATCGAATAACATATTGTTTATGCTATTTCTCAAAAGAAAAACTTATTATTTATTTTTTTTGGTTATTGATCATATAGTTATTGATATCCGATTAATATGATTTTTGGTAGGCATGAAGTACTTAACAACCCTACAAAATTAACGATTTGAATCATAAAAATAAGGTCATAATATATCTCAAACAGAGACATCACAATCACTGTGCTTTGAACACAGCAGTGACCCCTTATCCATCTATTACGACTTCTCTATTTTTTGTAAGGGGTAACTGAAAAGTAGTGAAATGGGCTAGGCAACGGCAAATAAGGGCAAAAGGGCGCTGAGGTGACAATCAAATACGGCAATGGGTGATAGCAAGGTTAGGATTTGAGTGGTTTGAGAGGTAGGGTAGGAATGACATTTTATATTAAGATAAAATTGTAATTAAAAAATATATAAAATAAGATAGGGATGTGAAGAAAAAATATGGATATTTTTAGTAATATCCTTTATTTTATATATTTCTTTCTTTCCAAAGCAAATCCTCCACAAATTTAGGAGAATTCTATTATATATATCCTTACATTATATGTATTATTAATTATGGCATTTCCTTTTTAGTGATGATCATTTTTTTTTTAGTTATAACATTATTTTAAGATATTTGGTTATAACTTTTTGTGTTTGATTATGATTTCTTTTTTCTAATTATGATTTAGAAAATATAAAATTATATTATTTTCATTTATAATTATAAAGTGTATATATAAATTTATAATAATAATAAATGCAAATAAAAATAAAAAACTTGACAATTTTTTTTATATATTTCTTTCTTTCCAAAGCAAATCCTTCACAAATTTAGGAGAATTCTATTATACATATCCTTATATCATATGTATTATTAATTATGGCATTTCCTTTTTAGTGATGATCATTTTTTTTTTAGTTATAACATTATTTTAAGATATTTATAACTTTTTGTGTTTGATTATGATTTCTTTTTTCTAATTATGATTTAGAAAATATAAAATTATATTATTTTCTTTTATAATTATAAAGTGTATATATAAATTTATAATAATAATAAATGCAAATAAAAATAAAAAACTTGACAATTATGTCTGACCTCTTTCAGTATTTGTGTCAGGGATATTTTGATTTGGTTTTTTTTTTTTTTTTTTTTCTTTTTGATTGATGCAAAGATAAGGAATTGTTTGGGCAATTGGCTAAAATGACTAAAAATTTACTAAAAAACAGTTAAATATTATCTCTATTTTTCTATTTGTCTTTTAGTAAAAAGTCAAAAAATAAACTAAAATAATTAATTCTCCAAATAACCAGTAATTAAGGAATTGAAAATGATAACTTTACTGCATTCAAGTTCAAAAATTAATAATTAACTTGCCATATTTTTAATCAATATGTATGGTTTAAAATTTATTAATAAGATATAATACCCAATAAAACATACAAAATATTGTATTGAGTAACATAGCGGACCTTCATCATCAATAAATAAAAAAAATAAACAAGAGGCCATTCACACACAATCTACTGAAATGAAATATTACTCTTATTTGTTCCTTTTTATTCCCCCTTTATTTTGAAATGGAAGAGTTGTATAAACAATTCATGACAAAAACAGCAAATTGTAAGCTTTTCAATGGGCATTTGATAGGATATCTAAAAAATTGGAGGCAAATAACATTCTTATTGTATTCAGGGAATAAATGTAATTAACATGAATAAAATAAACCAATATAATAAATAAAAAAACTAAATTGGTAAAATCTACTTACATTATTAAGTTAAAAGAGAAAAGGGGCAAACAAAAACCAAAGAAGAAAAAAAAGCACATTCTAAACTATACAAAAGTCTTATTTTTATTTTTATTTTTATTTTTTCTCTCTCTTTTTGGATCACAAGCACTATATTCTATGGTCATGTATATGTCTTGCTTGAATAAAAGATTATTCATCACTTTAGCCACCTAACCAATGGCAGTGTAATTTCTCCTTCTTTTTTCCCTTTACTCTTCAAATTCGATCATTCTTCAACAAGAGTGTCCTCATTTTCAATCTGTGTCGACACTCCATTACCAGAGGGGACTGAAGTCTCCTCATTTTCAACATGTGAGGAGACGCTGCCATCAGAGGCGATGATAGGCTTGTTCCCATTTTCAACTTGTGATGAGACTCTATTATCGGAAGCAACAAGTGTGTCCTCGTTTTCAAATTGTGAGGAGACTGTAGTATCAGAGCCCGCATCATCAATGGTCAAGCTTGAGACTTCGCCCCCCAAAGAACTTTCATCTTCGCCATTAACAGATTGTGCCGGGGATGCATCAGGAGTACCAGAAGTAGCAGAGGATGGAGATAACTCGGACTCGTCCACTGGTTGCTGAAGGCTCCAATACATGATGCTGGCTGTAAGAGTAAGGATCATCTTTTGATTTACCTGCCATTACATCATGAGAATTTCAGTCAAATATAATGCCCATCCATGTTTGTCCTCTATATATCCATTTCTTGATTTCATTCAATTCAAAATTTTGCACAGGAAAATTTTAATCTCATTAAACACAGTAGAACAATTTAATCTCGGTAAATATAGTTTGTCAAAAAAAAAAGAACTTTCGCATTCAAACATGAAATTAATGGACGAGCAAATTTACAAACCTATCAAAATAGCAATCTCACCTCAATGATGTCCTCAGGCAACAAGAAAATCGAACATCCAAGCTTACGTGCAACACTGATTATGTATGTGGCATTCAATTTCTTCTCCTCATCTATAACAACAATAAAAACAAGTCACTCTGTTGCTTCTGTAAACCTTTCTCATAATACAACATCTACTGAGTAACATTTGTAGGCGATAGAGAGAGAATTCAATTCCATCCATCCATACATAAAATCTACCCATTTAATTTCTGATGATGAAAAGTAATCAGAATGGATTTCAACCCTAACCATTTCCTTTGTTTAATATTTTCTGTAATGGTTCCACAAAATGTAAACCAGGTAGGCTTTAGGTGAATCTATGAAGCATGGACACGCCAAAATGGAAGCCGTGGCGGTGTCGGATACGGGACACACCGGGGACACGTCAGATGGCGTGTCCCTTTAATTTAATTTATTTTTTTGCAAAGGACATGGCAGAGACACGGTGGGGACACGCGTGTCCAAATCTGGACACGACACGCCATGGGACACAGTCGACGAGAAGAGAGAGACAAAGGAGAGAACTCAGTTGCCGATCAATCAAAGGGCATCCTGTTGACTCGAACTCAGTCGCCGACTTGAAATCGACATCCACCGTAAGCCCCCCCCTCTCTCCCTCTCCCTCTCTCTCTCTCGCCTTCTCTCTCCCTCGCGCCCTCTCTGTCTCTCGCGTCTTCTCTCTCCCTCACGTCTCTGATCTTCTCTCTCGCTCGCGTCTCTAGTCTTCTTTCTCGGTCGTGTCTCTAGTCTTCGCGTCTCACTCGCGCCTTCTCTGACGCTCTCGCCTTCTCTATCGACACCGAATTGCTAGAATTATTTCATACTGATTTGTGTGAGTTTGAAGGAATTTTAATTTGGGGTTGTACGGGGAGCAAATATTCCGGCAAGCCCGTACTCCTTTCTTCCGAGCTCCGTTATTGTCCGATCACCTGCGAGCAAATAACGATGAGCTACCCGACGGTGTGTGGCCGGAAAACCCCTCCGACGATCAAGTTAGAACATACACACAGGGGAAAGATAGAGAGAAGGGAGAGTCTAGAATGTTTAGTGTATGTCTCACCAAATGTTCATCTCTTGCGCATGGGGGGCGTAGATTCGCTTATATACCTTCTGCGCCCCAAATCTACTCTCATTCGTCTCTCGACACGTGGCGCTGCTATCCCATCTGTCAGCACAAATCTTGCTGGGCACCACCTAACCCAACTGCCCTCTCATTCTCCTGGGAGCTCGGTAGCAGGTCAGTACCATCTCGGCTATCGTCTGCCATGCTGCGCTTTTTGCCCAAGTATTCCAACAGCTATGCTCAGGTGGGGACCGGACTTGGCGGCATCTCGGCATAGCCGAGCTTGGGACAACTCACGCTTGTCCGCGGTCAACCAACCTGCCGAGCAAACAGGTACCCCAGCGTCATTACCACGGATCCTCGCAGCTTTGTTCAATCCACGCGCTGCCTTAACCGAGCAACTTTCTTCGCGGCCGGGCCATACAGCTTGGCCCAAATCTGTCCGGCATAACTCTGTCCGGCCCAAATCTGTCCAGCATAACTCTGTCCGGCCTAAATCTGTCCGACCTAACTCTATCCGGCCCAAATCTGTCCGGTCCAAATCTGTCCGGTCCAAATCTGTCCGGCTCAACTCTATATCATTAATTTCCCTCTCAATTGCCCCTTAATTCCGTCTGCAAGAGCGTGACTGGGATTACATATTCCAACCGGGATAACACTTCCTCGGTCCTCAAGATACGAAACGGCGACCAGGCTAGTTGACTCCTGTCCGCGAAATTTGTTCACTTCTACTCCTCGGTTGACGTTCTCTTCTTCAAAACTTGCCCGGTTGTCTCCTCGACTCTTCAACCTGTCCTTTCAGTTTTGACGTCGTCATAAATGGGGACACGTGGCAGGCTTCCATTGGACCTCGAGCAGCCAACCCAGCCGTCTGCCAGAATTTGAATTCTTGGCGATTTTTTTGTCTATACATACAAGCCCCCTCTTCCTCATTTCGCTCCTACTGCCTCTCTGCAATCCGACGCTTCAGAGCTCAAGCACCTTTCCCCAAGCCTCGTCTGCCATTCTTCGTGCTCGAAGGACTAGTCCCTGCCCTTCACTGGTAAGTCCTTCAACTCCTCTATTGTTGCTATTTTCTTAAATATTTCACACATTAGGGTAATATAACATAGTTCTTAGGACGTAGGCCATAGAAATCGTCCCAAACCTCTCACTGTTCATGGTGTTCTTCATTTTCGCTGATGAACTTCGAAGAATTGGGGCGGACCGGGCTCCAGGTCTTCGTTTGATCCAAAAAAACCAAATCAACCGAGCAAATAGCCTGTTAGATATAACCATAGCAAGAACCGGGATAACAAAGGTCTTGGTCGCTCAATCGGGCTAAAATCTGGCTTGCTTGGGCGACCGAGCTCCTTGTCAGCCTCTACGACCGAGGTGGTTTGGCACTCTGGACGACCGAGCTAAAGTCAAGCTCGCTTTGCGCGACCGCGCTCCCTCTTACACTTGCCCTCCTTTTCCTGCAGAGTCTAAGGGGACTACTGTCCAATCTTGAGGCTCCCAAAGACCAAGCAGCCACAAATCACCTGACAGTGCCAAACCAAAGCCGAGCTAATTTAGCCGGTCGTCAATGGGGAAATTCCGCTTCCTCGTTAAACTCCGGCTGCCCTAACTACGTTCAGGGAGGAGTACGGCATCCCGGCCGATGTCCACCTGGAGCTCGCAGAAGAAGAGACCACGCCTTGGGGTAGAACAGAACAATGCCCCTTCACCGTGCTGTCGATCGTCGAAGGAGGCCTCCGCTTCCCACTAAACCCACTTGTCACCGAGTTCCTCCGCCGCACCAGGCTGGCACCCACACAAGTGTCCACCAACACTTATCGAATTATCAACGGCGTCCATGAACTGAACAATCGGCTAGGCACCAACTTAGGTCTAGCCGAGATATTGAGGCAATACACGATGGGTCACACCGGTGACGACCTAGCCTATTACTTGAAAATCAAACCGGGCAAGGAGAAAATTGTAACCGGCACCCCGGATAAAGATTTGCATGACGATGATTTTTTTTGGGTGTCGGGCAATTACGAAATAGCCGAGGTACCGGGCTGGTTTATAAGCAAGAACTTCGGTTCCTCATGTAAGCCGCTCAAACTTGCTCGGTCAGCTTACTTCTTTATTCTGTAATTAACCGGTTTTCCTATTTCTTTTGCAGCAATCCAAGCCTTGCAAGCCAACTATCAATTTCCCAACGTAGAGGCAATATGGACCGTGCTCCGCCATCGCCACCGAGATTGCAACGAGCTGCTCGGCTACACTCCCACCTACAGATACTCCGCTCCCCGCCAGAGTAAAGTTACAGACTTCCTCCGTGCTCCATCACCTCCTCCAGATCCAACTTTGCCAGACGTTCCACTAATCCGGTTGACAGAAGAACAAGAGATGGACAAACGAAGCCGAATCAAAAACCTGTTCACCGCAACGTCTGCCGAGATACCGAGCGTCGTCACCCACTCTCCAGCCGCCGGTCAGTCAAGGGGAGCCGTGGTCGCCCTTGCTTCTCAAGCTGCCGGGGAGTCAAGCCAAGCAACACACCGAGCTGGTAAAAGAGCTCGCGCGGACCCGTCTGCCGAGCTGATTACCGAACTATCCACCGAGCAACCAACCGTGACAGCTGACCCAACGCCTGCATGGAGACCGCAACTCAAGCACCGAGGAAAGGAGATCCTGGCGACGGCTTCCATCAAGGGAGACAAAGAACAACTTCTTGCCTTTGATCTCTCCAAAGCCCTTCTCTTGCCGAGCGACGTGGTTGGCAGCGACCACATTCCTGACACTCGACTTGTGAAGTCTTCAGTCAAGTCCATGGCCAGGGTAAGTCTCAATCATTTGCTGAAATTTTCATTAAGTATTTGCACGGTTTCTAATTCGGTCCAGTTTTCCCCTTGTAGGCCATCCAAAAGCAGCACCTGGTTATGGAGCGCATCCACCGACTTCGGCAAAAGGCAGCCGATACTGCCAGCCAAGTCCAAGGCCTCCAAACCGAGATTGGCCGAGCAAAGTCCTCGCATGAAATCGCCAACACCGACAACAATCGGTTGCTCGGCTAACTCGACGAAGCCGAGAAAAAGAGGGACGAACTCCAGGCCGAGCTGGACGCGCTCAAGAAGTCCAAGGAGAAGGATTGTGAAGACGCCAACAATGCCGGCTTCAAAGAAGCGGAAGACAGTTATAAAAAACAAGTCTTCGCCACCCAGGACATATACTTCAAAGCTGGATGGAAGGCTGCCTGTCAACAGCTCGGTCAAGGTCCTGACACCGACGTGTTTGCCTCTCCACCGGCTGTCTTCTTACCGACCTACCTCATTCCATACGCCAATGACGTCTTCAGCGCGCTGCAGGCCGAGGCCGAGGAAGGACTCGAAGAAGTCGGGGCAGACGCTGAGGGAGATGACCAAACCGAGCAGGGGCAGACCGGCCAGACTTTGACCGGTGTCCAGGACCAAACAGCAACGGTCAACCTGGAAGCTAAGGAGGAATTCCCAGACCTCTCCCCTTTAGTTTAGTTTTCTTTTTTATTACTTTGGGAATGTAACCGAGCTCTCTGCCCCTCCTTTTGTATTGACTTTCTATCAATGAAAAGCTTTAATTTCAGCAAATGTTTGCACGGTTTTCTCGAATTATTTTCAGCAAAACATCTCGATTTAAAGTATGGAGTACAAATCATCAACTGGCTGGACCGGAGTTAACATCTCGGTAAATTTAGTATGAAGTACAACTCACTAATTCTTTCAACATCTTGTATAACCGGAATACACCATCTCGGTTTTAATTCTGAGAATTTGAACAAGCCACCAACTCCTTCAACCGGAGTAATTCATCTCGGTTGGGATCTCTGAGTTGGACAAACCACCAACTCCCTCAACCAGAGTAATTCATCTCGGTTGGGATCTCTGAGTTGGACAAACCACCAACTCCCTCAACCGGAGTAATTCATCTCGGTTGGGAATTTCAAGTAATCAAAGCAATCCGTCGAAATGCTTAGTTAAAGAAGACACTTCTATATAT